ATGTGTGAAGCCCATTCCTGGTGTCCCCTGCCGTGACATTGCTGGAATATTGTTAAAGCGGCGTAAAACCCGACTCACTTACTCACTCGCTCATATTGTAAAGGACCCGTGAAGATGCGGGATATAATTTGTCTTCAGCAAACCATGCTTGTCGTAAGAGGCGACTAACGGGATACGGTTGTCAGACTCGCTGACTTGGTTGACACAAGTCGTCGTATCCAAATTGCTGGTGATCACTGGATTGTCTGGTCCAGTCTCGACTATGTACAGATCGCCGCCATATAGCTGGGATATTGCTGAGTGCGTCGTGAAACAGTAGACAAATTAAATGTCACCAGTTAGCGATGTTAGTTACAATGTGTGTTATAATGAAGTTTTTAATATAATATATGGAAACACAAGAGACGTACTATCGATGATAGAAAACCGAAAAGCCCTTTTTAGATTGATTGATTGAGTGAGTATATGAACATGGTTTTACGCCGCTTTCAGCAATATTCCTGCAATATCACAGCGGGGGACACCAGAAATGGGCTTCACACATTGTACCCATGAATCGAACCCGGGTCTTCCGCGTGACGAGCGAACGCTTTAACCACTAGGCTACCCAACCGATGTTTAGAGAACAAATGGGTTATTCACATTCACTTTAAAAGGCACTACGCTGTCACTGCCTTAGCGGACCGCCGTCGCCGTTGTGGGGATACGGCGTTCACCCGGACAGCGTAAGGTCGGTGGTTCTTTGTCTGCCCGGATCGGACCGAAAAGACGTTAGACGATGTTACTAGCCTCCGGTGTGTCGCTCGGCTTTAATGGGATGCTTCAACAGCCGTATAATGGCTCTGAGTGGGGTATTCATGTTCAAGTGCTATAAGGTTTGATGTATTTGGAGCTGGTAGTATGTAAGCAGCATCAATCCGGACAAGTAAAGCACCGGACAGACACACAGACATCCACTCGCGCACGTCAGTGCAATATTCGTATACATGACATTAAACGCCATTTCACCACACCTCAATTATCCTTAAAGATGCTTTTTAGGAGATGGGTATAGAGTTCTGATTAAAGACGGATACTGTCCAGCTGCACATTAAAGCATCATTAGGACTCTTCTGTTGGGGTCAAAGCGGAAGGTCAGTCAACGACCACAATGATGTAGCCACGCACATTGGGGGAAAGCTATCGACAACAGGAAACAGGACCCTTCTCATATACTCTAACCACATCAATATATAGCGCAGCAAAGAAAATAGCAACACATTGCAATGTTGTCGAAAACGCTAAAACAGAAGCGACTTCGCGTATTGAATCCGTGTCCAGTAAACATCAACAAAAAGTTAAGGTTGGTTTGTTGGTTTGTAAGTTGTTTTACGCCGCACCCATCAGTATTGCAGCTGTATGGTGGCGGTCTGTAAATAATGGAGTCTGGACCAGACAATCCAGTGATTAGACAATGTACGCAATTGGGATACGATGACATGTGTGTCAATCAAGTCAGCGAAGCTGACCACCCGATCCCGTTAGTCGCATCTAACGACAAGCATGGGTTGCTGAAGGCCAATTCTAACGATTATATAAATGTCTTGTATCTGGAGAACCACATGGATATAAGATAGGCTTTGTAAATGAAATATTTGTTTAAAAGGGTTTTCAAACTGCAACGAACTCACTTAATAAACAGCAATAAGAACTCTTACAGTAAAGCATTGACTGCTCGGAACTTTATCACCTTGCTATACTTTACAAGACCTAACAAGCCCAGTTTCTCGCTAAAACAATTTTTATTTGAGCGATCGACTCAACAAAACTTCAACCAGACATGTTTTACTCAACCTATGAAGGATTCACCTTTTTTCGAAAGCACTCCACCACTGGTACATTAAAATTCACAATAGTTAAATAATAATCTGATCTGAACAGATTCATTTGGACGCAAAAGGCAAAATTGTACTGGAAATCATAATGTATGTCTCACGGAAACAAATGATGACACCGTGAGTTCGCGACAAGGGTAAACAAAGCGACAAAAATCTCCTATGTTCATAAGAAGTTGCTTTCAAAGCAGTAAAAAAAGTGTTAAGCATACGGGGTAGTCTGGTAGCCTTGCGGTTAAAGCGTACGCTCGTCACGCCGAAGGCCCGGGTTCGATTCCCCACAGGAGGGGGCGCGGTGGGCGAACTGGCTAAAGCGCCAGGCTAGTGATCCAGCGAGCTTGAGGTGACGGGACCGAGCCCACCTGTGACCGGGTGTAAAAACCTTGGAGTCAACTTTGTGTGCAGACTCTTTCAGTGTTGTCACAACCCCTAGTGTACAGTACACAACCCTGTGCACTTAAAAGAACCCACGAATCCGTAGGTATATGACCAGATGGTGGCCACATGAATACGTGCAAACACCCAGTTGCGGGTACAGCAACGTGCAGTGAACTTGGACAAAGTACTGTGACTATGTGTCCCAGTGCACCCAGCTGTGAATGGGTACCTCGTAAGGATGGGAATGCCACAATAACTCGGTGCGCCTAGTGGCTGCAAGAGTTTGTATGCTCCCCAGGGAGTTGAGATTGACAATACGATGTGCCGTTGAGATTGACATCCAGTGAACGAGGAAAAAAACAAAGCGCCTTTGAGCAGCTGAGCGGAGCTGGATATCGGCGCTATACAAATGTATATATGATGATGATGAGGAGTACAATCTGTGAAGCCCATTTTGGTGTCCTCCGCCGTTTAAGTGCTGGAATATTGCTAAAAGCCGCTAAAAACCATACTCACGCACTCACGCACGCCTAACTACCATCCTTGTGTGCCTGTGTACGTTCTGAGATTACAGCACAGAATACACAACGGCATTAGAGCTAAGATTCTTTGCATTGTCAGAAAGAGAAATATTCATCCAATGTACACTTTCCTCGAATCTACTTGGGCAAGGCATCAATCATTCGAAACGTACAGAAACAACCGTTACATTCTATCTTTCAAACCAGAATACGTCAATATTATCTGGGGCGGTGGGGTAGCCTGGTGGTTAAAGCGTTCGCTCGTCCAACCGAAGGCCCGGGTTCGACTCCCCACATAGGTACAATGTATGAAGCCCATTTCTGGTGTCCCCCGCCGTGATATTGCTGGCATATTGCTAAAAGCGGTGTAAAACCATATTCATTCAGTCACTCAGTCTATATATATCTTTCTGCATAATATATTTAAGAACAGTACCGCTACCGATGAAATATTTGGTTTGTATTATTCCGACATGAATAATCAGGAAATACACAATGCCATTTTAGAAAGGCGTCAAATGTAACATATGTTTTATTTGGGATCACACTTTCTTCGTAAAGAACAGATTCTAGTACTTGTTTTGGGTTGAGTCCCATCCGGGATTCGAACCCTTACTCCCTCAGAGTCAGGCACCTAATCGCCAGCACACAAAGTCAGACGCCTAGACCGTTCAGCCACCGCGGCTTCCGCGACTCAACCCAAAAAAGGAACTACAATCTGTACTTTACTAAGAAAGTGTAATCCCAAATATAACGTGTTACATGAATAATCAGAGCCAATGCGATATCCGTATTTTTACAACACAGTACAGCACGAGAAATATATCAATTATTCAGAAATAATAATCCGTAGAAGAATGTTTTGAGGTGAAACTATTCTTTTTTGTTCAGAACATTACTTTCTACAGAATGAAGGACTGATGTCTTGACAGATGGTACAATGCCTGAAGCCAATTTCTGGTGTCCCCCGCCGTGATATTGCTGGAATATTGCTAAAAGCGGCGTAAAACCACCCAACTCTCTCACTCACTTGTCAGATGGGCGAAGTTAAGAAGACAAGAAATATACTGAGCTCCCTCATACATAAAATTACAAGCATTCTTAAAACTACAACATGACATCTTTCACTTTAACAAACGCTGCCTGAAGCCCCATTCGGTTTCAAGCCCAATATAAAATATGTTGTAACAATCACTATTTTTCATTATTGATTAGGCACACGAGATTTAAGTTTTACAGGTAATATTGTTCCAAGCTTAAACATGCTTATGAAGTTTTACTTTTAATGTCTTATCATTTCCCTCGAATATAACGGTCACTTAATGGATATTGACGCAATCTGGTTTGATGTACTGTTAGATCACAGCAAGAAAACCGGTAATATAACCTTACTATCTTAGTCGTTGAAACACCTTTCAGTACCACTTTTCTGACATCAACATAGCTTGAGCCACTGAATGAAGATTTCTAACACCATCGATGTGCATTATTCCATGAACAATAGACTACGTTGAAATAAACGCAAGAACATGCCGGAACGGGTATACGATAGATAAAGTTTCACAGAATTCTAACTGATCAAGCTAACGTGCCTAGCATACATGTCAGAAATAGATTATGAACGTCCATGGTTATTTTTCTCTCTTTATAATAGGACATGAAAACCAAAAACGACTTCCCATTCTTTCAAGCACGTTCATTGTTGCCGTGATGGAACATCGTCTCAGTCAGTATTCAATTTAGTTTTGTAAAGAAAATCGGTAAGTGCTTTTCTTCTCACATATTGAAAAGGACCAGTTGAAGGCCTTTGAACATATGAACTCAACTATAACATGTCATCCAACTGTTATTACTAATCGTATTGAGATGACAAGGCTTAAACCAACCAAACACCATACAAAGACTTTAAAAACGCAATACAAAGCAAGATTAATAAAAGTAACAATTTAACGTTCAAAACGTTCATACAAACAATGCATCAAATAAATGAAATAATAATAAACAAACAAATCAACAACGGCTATATATGCAAAAATGAAACATACAACTTTATGGATAACAACTTTTTTGCTCTATGCACTAAACCAGAAGTTGTCATCCATAAAGACGTATGCTTCATTTTTGACTCACCAACTTCTAGAATGCCGATCATATAACCATTTATGCGTTTGTTTCCAATTACATAAATGTCTAAACATTAATTCAAAAGTTTTGACTTAAAAGGTACCTTAAAGGTTTCTGGAGTTGTGTGGAGAAGGGCTATCTACGCGTTACGGATTCCATTGATGCCGGATTCCTGTCATCCGATCATAGTTGACTGTTTCCCAGCTATCATCTTCTAGATAGTGCCGGGTCTCTCTACATCTATATAATGCCGCTACCACCGCCTCACACTACAACCACAACCCGCGCAGTGGGGGCGTACTGAGCATCACGTGCAGGTGATGTTAACCACACGATATAGACACACAAGTCATTATTCCACACCGACCTCAAACGAATGGGCGCCGTCTAGGATTATTGGTCGTGCAAGCTAAGTATATGCTGGGAGCGTGACTGACTTGATTTGAGCTGATTGTTCAGTAGTATTACAGCTCCTGTCATCACGATTTTAAGCGGAATATCTATTTTATATTCACAAACCATCCCCGTGCCAAAGCGATTGATGAAGTCAGCCAAATGCCTTCACGACAAAACACAAATCATGCGTGGGACGGTTTGAAACAAAACTAGCATATCCTTTTACTGGAGCATGGTTTTATTGAGAACATTTTGATGTTAATATATTGCTAAGCCTTGGTGTTGACTAACATATTCTTGTTTACGTTACTGAGGCGACAGTTTGCATATTTCCCAGTGCGTTGTTAAGGAGAGCTTATTGGTCGGCACCAAACACCAAGTTTATAAAATAAGTAATAAATATACAACGCTCTATACCTTTTTTTGGAGGGTGGGGGTGGGGGGGGGTGTCGACATAATCAAACACAAACCCGACTCCGTTATTGAAAATAGTTTAATTGCACTGTGCATAATCAGTAAATTATCAAAATTATATCCCTACCAGACCCCCACTAGGGCACTGAAGTCTTCTCTGACTGAATGGATACACTCTTCCGTTACAATAGCTCACAACCTCCCTCAACATGAACAGAAAATTAGAATTTCGTTCACATTGAACAGTGTGATCCCAGCAGTGGTATGACAAATATTGTTTGTTTTTCGGTCGAACAGTTGACTAGACTTTGCATGTGTTTATGACGGGCTCGATCCTTATGGGGCAGGATACGCTCACCTTTCGCGCACCTTGTCTCATCACTAATTACTTGTCATTCATAAGCATGTGCTCATGATGTAGCTGGATTGTACAAGAGACTCTGCGTTCAGCGGAGACTTTTTACGAATGTGGAAAAGGTTTTGTCGCTTTGTTTCATTTTTAAAGTATTTAGTTACACAAAGGTGGGCTTTTTAGGAGAACTTCGAAATATTGGTGTGTTCGAACAGCCGACAAAAACGTATTATCTAAAAATGCATACAGCCACAGTTAAAATGAGTGAAAAATAAACGAACTTTGAGTGAAAAAAGTATTACTTGGTTGTAATATTGCTTCTTTCCCCCTCTAACATAATAACAATAACTTTTAGAGATATAAGTCTTTTCTAGTTAGATGTGCTGTATTTGAAGTTTTTGAAATGAACAAATTTTAATTCTGATTCATATGCACACACCTGTTAATTTTCATCGTGAGTTGATGCCAGAGTGTTAACCAACTAATAACGAAAAATATAGGCCTAACGTAAACCAAGCTATTTTTTCTGCAGACCCATATAAAATACATATATTGCTTGGCCTCACCATGTTGCCGATAGTTTTCTCTAGGGCGTCTTCTTCCTGTAGGCTTTGAGGCTATATGACATTCTGCAGCCCCCTTGGGGGATTCAGTTTGAAATAATACGTGGGAATAAAAGGGACAACCCCGCAAATCAAAGTGACGACTTGCAATACGGCAAATCTGGTTTAGAGTTCTCATTTGTCTTGTTCTCTGAATGAATTAAGTAGATTAAAGTGGTAATTGAATCCCCGGGATGGGTTATGAATCATAGATGTGTGTGTCCGTTAAGCACCGACCGAAAAAGTCAATCACATTATAACGGATAACGGTACTTCTATCATGGTGGCTTGTGTACCGAGGTGCCCTTTATGCCACGTTTTCTATACGACTTTTACATGCAGACTAAATCATTCAATAATGATTAGTATACGATTGCCTGGTAGGTATCTTAGTGCTTGTGAAACTCTTTCAGGCAGAGTAACAACTGCTGTCCTTTTACGTCGATTGGTTTGAGGGGGCCTCGAAATCGAACCACCGACCTCCCTTTAAAATAGGATGGTTGGTTTATTGATGGTTGATCAATAGCTTGAACATCGATCTACGCAATTGGGATACAATGACGTGTCAACCAAGTCAGCGAGTCTGACCACCCGATCCCGTTAGTCGCCTCTTACGACAAGCATGGGTTACTCAAGACCAATTCTAACCCGGATCGTTACGGGCGTATATTAAATGACCTTTATTGCATGGGATTAAATGGTTCCATTTTCTGTCTCGATTTCTTGACAATGGACAAGTTCCAAGTTCTCGTCAAGACACGTGGATTCTAACAACATCGATGCTTCTTTTTTGCTGACGTTTTAATGTGTTTTATCAATGCATACTCAAAAAACAAATACAGAGGTGTCTCAGTAATATTCATATGTGGTCTCAGGAAATCGGTGTTAATGTTTTACATTCTTTTTATTAAGCGGAAAATGCACAAAAGCTTTGAATTGTTCTTTTATACTACACTCATCAACGTAGTTAAAGAGACAGGTTTTACATTTGATAGCAAACTTTTATACCCATGGAAAAAATCTTAAATCCAAATGTTTAAAGGCACGTTATCCTCTTAATATTGTTCGTTGCAGAGGATATAAAGAAACACTTCTTCATTCCCACAGAGAGGTATTAGAATCTAAGCTGGACTAGTGACGTTACATTCATGGCTCAACTCTTAAATCACACTTGCGTGAGCTTGGTAGTATTCGCCATCGGAGGCTGTGCTTAGATGCATTCAGAAGTTTTCCTGTCGTAAGTCTGTATGTTAAGGCAAATGAACCTCGTCCAGTGAAGAAGGGTAAATCTTTCTTGGAATTATATTACTAAACTCTCTCTACATTATATTACTAGACTCACTTGGAATTCTTCTAATCCAAGCATTAACACTGCTTTGAAATCCGTGTCTCAAAAAGTCTAATGCAATACCTCATTTGGTATTCGCATGAAACCTCACATATAAGATGTTTAAGTCTCTCTTGTTTGATCACAGATGTCGGATATATTTCCCTTTCAATGTATACAACCTATAGCCAAAGCTGAAAAAGGCAATAAAACGCCGGTATCAAAATCGTTTCCTGAATTGAGATAACTTGTATGGCTCAATAAAAGAGTGGGCGATCTGGTAGCCTAGTGGTTAAAGCGTTGGCTTGTCTCGCCGAAGACACTAGTTCGATTTCACATATGGGTACAATGTGTGAAGCACTTTTCTGGTGTCCCCCGCCGTGATATTGCTAGGATATTGCTAAAAGCGGCGCAAAACAATACTCACCCACGTCAGAAGGGCAGAAAATATCAGCTGCTGCATAAACAAGTGGTAAGACCTTCTGATGGAAGTCCTCCCGTCAGAAGCAATGGCTATTTTGTTAGCTTTGTAGTATATTAGATAGTGAGTGAGTGACAGAGTTTAGTTTTACGCCGCTTTTTAGCAATATTCCAGCAATATCATGGCGGGGGACACCTATAATGGGCTTAACACATTGTACCCATGTGGGGAATCGAACCCGGGTCTTCGGCGTGGTAAGCAAATGCCTCAACCACAAGGCTACCAGACCGCCCACTCTTTAAATGAAAATTCAAGTAATAGTCATTCAGGATTGTCCATTTGCACAAAACCTAAAATAACCTATAGTACCAACTCTTTCTGAATATGCTTACACGGGCCACCTAAATCTAATTACAGTGTAATTGTGAACATTTGTTTATTTCAATTGTTGCACTTACTAATTGCAATTGTTACAGTCGCTTCTGGCTGTTGTTACAACCACGTATTTTATTTACCCCCAGCCGCGTATTGTTTCTTTCGCCAGCACAACAAAATTTACATTATAATACAATTATATTAACAACAACTGACTCAATATTCAAATATAGGACGTTGGTAAACAGTTCTAGAATGCGTTTTGCAATGACAACAATTTGTATGTTTGTGCCGGAAAACCTCTTCACAATACTTCAATCGAAAATATTATGTTCATGCTATGCATAACTCCCTTTGAAGCAATCACCGGTCTGAATCCGTCTTTTGTATCCCACACACCGGAAGTTGTAAAGGAAAGCTGAAATACAAGGCGCAGGTATACCAATGTAGCTATCACGATGGCAATTTCAACGCCACAGGTGCTACAACGCTGTGCCTGGGAGCACTCATAGACTTCATTCACTTGGAATCAATGACAGGAAAGATGGACAATACTTCCATTAGTCGAAATAAAGCGTGACGGCTTTCTGGTAAACAACGTACCTTTGTCTGGTTTGCCGAGACGGGACAAAACGAAATCCGGCTTGCCATTTGTGCAGTTTAATGATAAGCAGAATGTGTCACAAGCAATGATGTTTGTTTTTACCCTAGAGCGACTTTATCAAGTAGAGGGTATTTAAATGTCATTATAGTAGGATCAGATTCATGTAGGTCAATGTTTGCAGTGTGCACTTGACCACACTTGGCCTTTAAAGGTAAAACGTGTATTCAATCACAGAGGAATAAGACCATTCGTAACTACTCGTGTCATTCCGGCAAGCCGGATGGCTCTTCTTGTAGGTCACGGAAAGAGTCGAGTAGTTACGAATGGAATAAGACTTGCGTGGATAAGATTAAAGTATTCTTGTAGTGAACCGATTTTGGTCCATCCATAGCCGCATACGACGTTGATGTTTGCTCGGAAACATATAAACCTCTGGATTTATTTGAAAGCTGTTAGAAATATCATTATGGATAAAACGTGACACGACTAAATATAAGTTTGTTTGTTTATTGTTAAATGCCGCACACAGCAATATTCAAGCTATATGGCGTCGGTCTGTAAATAATAGAGTCTGGACCAGACAACCAGTGATCAACAGCATGAGCATCGATCAACGCAATTGGGATACCATGACATGTGTCTAAATATAAGTAGTTGCATAATATAACAATTGTACAATATACTTTCACTTATCACTTGAGCTAAGTTCTAAATGGCAAAGTATTTACGTTATATGAATATATGCTTGATGACTCCGTTTCACAAGTAACTCGGGTTGACGAGGGTGATGTTTATAATCCTGTAGAACTAT